GTTCCCTTACCACAGTGTGGATTATTAAGGGACAATACTGAAACAAATACTTAAATGATAACAGTTAAGTCGACGCGTTATTTGTCAAAATTTAGCAATCTGGTGACCGGAAAAACCACGAAGGACTACGAAGTGGAGCGAGATGGGGAACAGATTTTTGAGCAGTATCAGAAAGTCAAAGCCAAGCATTTTCCGCTCTCAGTAATTCACTCTCTGCAGTAGGCAGAGACACTGACTCCGAGTTCAACAGCAGCTATCCAACCAGTGACTCCGAGTTTGCTTAAAAGCAGACTGATAGCGGGTTCAATTCCCTGGAATGCGGCAGTACGAATTTATTAATTACAGTAAATGAACGGGTCTTAAACGATTTAGTTTGTCCTACTAGTGGAAGTAGAACTCTTAGCTTTTAGTACGAGAGTACGCTGGTTTGTACTACAACATACTCGTCAGTTGCAAAAGTTGTCCAAAAAACACTTGCTGTTGAAATAGTTCCGTAAAATCCTTTCTGGCACTGAATTCCATTTGAAAGAAAAATTCTAAAATTTTTTTTTGTTTACCGAAGAACTAGTCGACCTTTGGAATAATGCAAAACCACTACTGCAGGAATGACTGCAAGCCCAGAGGTCAATTTTTTTTCAGTAAACAAAAAGACGAGCTTTCTCGACAGCTGTTCGATTTGAAGCATAAACTTGAAAATGAAAAATCCGCTCGCGAGGAGGTGGAACGGGCAAAAAGCCGTAAGTGAAAATCCGTTTCGTCTTTTTTACAAACATTTAATGAATCTTTACGCGAGGCTCATTTTAAGCTTGCTACCATCGCATATGAACAGCAAACGTCCTAAAAAATGGTGCGCCCTGCTCAGTCCCAAACTAAGCTTCCAACTGCGTGCACGCGAAACCTAAGTGTTCTCTAAAACTGAATTTGAAAAATTTAGTTTAAACATGAGAATAAAGTATCACCCTAAACTTGCAGTTGTCTAGCTTGACTGGATCGCGAAGTCATTTTCTGTTACACATGTCACTGATATCAACGCACGACACAAGTGCACATTAAAGCACATTATGTGCTAACACGGCCCTATATGGACTATCTGGCGCTCAAGCTGGCATTTTGGCAGAGGCGTCTCGATTTGAAATTTGACGCTTTTATACACACGGAGTAAGAGTAGATGGTAGCTGGATTTAAAATCTTTATTTCACACAACGGCAGAGAAAATCACTGTTAAATTCCTAGTTCTTTACCTTATCTGATTTGAAACTTGGGCATATGTAAGCGTTGATTTTAAAAAGCAGGGTGGCAACATGCTCTAAACATTCCAGTTTCCTAGTCTCTTTGGTTGCTAATTTGAAAGTGGGTGACAAAATCCAAATAAATGGTCATAGTCGCACATTCAGAGGGACACGCATACGCACATGCACAACCTCTTGGCAATATGCTTTTTCGTATTAGCAAGAATTTGCAAAACCGCATAAAAATCGTGAAATTTTATACCCAGAAAATACGCATGAATAATACTGCGCATCGAAATCATATACAAAAAAAATTGTTTATAAAAAAAGGAACCAAATGAAAATTTCAGGTGCTTTGGAAGAAGTAGAAAAACTGAAACTACAAATAACCGATTATGAGCATCAGCTTAACATGTTACGACGACACAATGACGAGTTGGACACACAAATCAAAAGTGGACAGGCAAAAATAACTGCCATCGAGAATGACCTGATCACCAGTCAAAAAGAAATTGCGCGGCTCAATGAACTGAATAACCGCCTTCAGAGGGAGAAACAAGATGCCACAAAGTTAGATTTTTCGAAATTTTCATTGATCAAATTAACTTCGATTTTTATGATAAAAATTCATTTTTCCTGCATTTTCCAGAAAGTGCAAAATATTTTTTCTGTTATTTCAGTCAAAAATTGAAAGCGGAAGGTGACGCTGAAACACTTAGAGAACAAATCCGGAAGCTCGAGCAGGAAATTGAGAAGCTCCGAGCAGAAAACAGGGCAGTCAAGGAACAAGAAGAAAAAATACGCGATACTTTAACGCAACAGACAAATCGAGCTCATCTTCTCCAGAAAGAACTTGAAGAAGCAAAGACGGAAATTGAAGAACTCAATCGTAATCCTTTTCCCTTTTTTAGTTTTGCTCCAAACAGTAGCATCCAGGACGTCATTACTGGTGTCCATCGATTTTTGCGTCAGCCTTATTTGACTTTGGTAGCTCCCAGTGATTCTTCAAAAGCTTTTTATTATATTGAACAATCGTCTTCCAAGCAAATTCGATACGCAAACTTCATCAGGATGAATACAGTTTGATGAAAAAATGCATAATAGGCACAATTCCAGGCTTCCTCATTCCCAGCGTCACTGCATCGGCTGTTCTACAGAAACTGTGATAAAAATACAAAGCAAAGATGTCGAAATAGATATCTTTACAAATTCCGTCTTGTGAGAATAAAACATTTGATCCTTTTTTTCAAAAGTTTTTCACACTCATTATAATTACAGGAAAGATCAAACGACTGGAGGACGAACTTTTCGAACGTGTCCGTCCGCGTAAAGAATCGGATGAAACAGGTTCACTTAACTTATAATAAGTTTGGTAAAAATATCAAATCATGTTAAATTTCTATAGAAGGAGGGTGCTTCAGATAAAATGCCGATCAGCTTGGGCGGCACAACAATCCATGATACCGAAATCCATGAAATAAGGATTAAGGAAGTAAACGATAAATGGAAGCTAGAAATTGACAAACTGCTCGGCGAAAAGGTCCACGTTCCTGCTTTTACAAATTAGCAATATATCGGTGTGACTACACGACGAAGCGGAGCCTTTTGAACAGACGGTTGAAAGCTTCGTTGGTAAACAGTGAACGTTGTGTACCAGCGAGAGACTGGGTTATCATCAATTGGTGCTTTAATAAGTAGTATTTGTGAATTATTAGTTAAGAGGCGGATGAAGCGGAAGGAGAAATTATATAATAGGCTATGTAAAAAGGATAAAAATAAATGTGAATAGCAGTATTTCGATCTATTCAGCCGTATTTATTCCTTATCAGCACTCCGACTAGTTCGGGGTCATTACGACGGCTCTAGTGCAGTTGTTGAAATCAAGTAAACAAAGGAGTAAAGGGTAAGGATAGCTACCAGATAGGCAGTAGTCGCTTGAATGAATTTCATACGTATGACAGCATGGGTGACAGAAATGACGACTGCGTATCTTTAACAGTAAGAAGCTCACGAGTGGACCGCCTAACACAATTAGCGTGCGGCTTAGTGTTTGGCACTGAGAGCCCCACGTCCATAGTTGGAGGAATCATGATAAATTGCAAGGAACGATCAAGTGTATTGTAGGACGAACTCGAGCGAAGGATTCGAGAGCTCGAAGATCATATTGCACAAAGAAATCGCGAAATTGAACGTCAGGAGTCCGAAATTGCGGAACTGAAGCGTAAGCATCAAGCAGAAATTGATAGACTGAAGGCCGAAATTTCGCACCTCTATGATAAACATCAAAACGATCTCGATGATGAAAAAGAACAATACAATAAGGTATGCCTTCAATATAATAAGGTATCTCTTCACAAATCTCAAAAACTGCTAGTTTCTCTCCTGAACAATGATACTCAGTAAACTATCAAAAAAATGTAAGCTTTTAGAATCTGGAATCGATCAAGGTTGTCGAAGATGAGCTGCGCAACAGACTTGCTGAAGCTGAACGAAAACTTGCCGAAGCAGAAAATCGTGAAAATCAGTTGGAACGTCAAAATACCGAGCTAAAGGAAAAATATGAACAGGCGCTCGCACAAATTCAGAAACTTAAGGAGGATCTAGAAGATATGCGGCAAGAAGCTGAAAATGTAAAACATTAGAAATCCAAAAAAAAAACCCTAGAAAAGCTTTCGAATTACTGGTAAAGAAGTAATGGAATATTCCAAAAACAGAAAAACTACGAAAAAAAATTTTTTTTAAAAGAAAAAAAGCAGAAAAAAATTTTTAAAAGCAACTGTCAAAAGTAAGAAGCCAGAACTTTCTATGATGCAAAAATTAAAAAAAAAATCAATTTTTCTAGACAGAAGCAGCCAGAAATTGTTTCAGGAAATACAGAAATGGAAAACAGATGCATATGCAGCTCGTTCGGAACTAAAAGCAATGGAAACAGCAAATAATGCATTAAAAGCTCAGCTTGCGGCGGTTAATGAGCGCGCTGATTCATTGAACAAAACGGTTAACGACCAAAACACAAAGATACGAGATCGTAAGTTGCCAAAAAGACATGGAGCTGCATCCAGAATTTCCAGGATATCGAGCAATTCCAGTGTTTTGAGATTTTACAGTTTGTTTTGAGATTAGAACCGAACGTTATTGCAGTAAGTACACAAATACGACGCCTTGAAGAAGAAATATCGGATTTGAAGTCAGCTGCCGTAACACGTGAATCAGACTTGGAGAGCGCTCTCAGCCGTTTACGCTCCGTTGAAGAGCAGTATGCAGCATTACAGGCCGAACATGCAAAAACAAGAAATGAGCTAGAAATTTTGCAACGAGAATACGACGTCCTCAAAGTGTTAATTAAATCGATTTATATGCAAAATGAGACGAATCCAGGGAGAAAGAGATTTGTAAATTTTGGGGTGGGACGGAAAAAACGTGAAAAACTGAATTCAGTAGGCTAATGTATTTAGG